CTTTGTAAACCCACTTTGATTTCTTTCTAAGCTAATACCGAATCTCGCCGGTTAGTTCAGTCACCGGTGCCATTCAGTTGCCAATGGACATTATACCTCCATTAACAACACCCCAAATCGACAAAACAACCCCATCCGCCCACAACCTTCACCACCACCCAAACCACCATCCATCCGCAACCAAACCATACCTGCAAAGCAAAATCAAAATCGCAACCCCAAACCTCCATTACCACCATAATCAACCTAATCATAGAACCCGAAACCTAAAACCCAATTGAAAAACAAAATAAAACAGACAACAACAGTGAACAACCCAAATCCTGGTCTGAAGAACTGAAACTAACCATCGCCGGAATCTCGCCATTACAGTCACTATTCGACGGCATTTTAGTCCACTTCACCTCCATTCCGTTCTCCTTCCTCGTTGCTTACAGTCTCGTCAGTACCATCTGTCTATCACCGGCATGTAAACGCTCACTGTCAGCCCGCCATCTTGGTCACCGAGCAGTTCTCTGTGCTCTTTTTTTCCTCCCTGCGGTTCCTAGCCTTGATTCGTTTTTAGCCATCCTCGCTACATATCAGGATCAATCCTCGCCGATCTGTGATTTATTGCCCCCAAACCCAACATCAGAAGGCAAAACGAGCCCCCCCCCCCATTGCTCTGAAACACAAAATCTTCATCGCCCTTGTTGAGCAGAGAGACGAATACAGGAAGGAAGTTTAGGATTCATGAACGTGTGCGTCGGTTTGAGCCGGAGTCGGAGTAGGGGAGGATAGACCGGCGCTTTAGGCTTACGTTCTTCCACTGTTGCATGACCTATTTGAAGCCCACGATTTGGGTGATTTTGTTGACCTTTACGGCGGAAGACAATCACTTTATCCGCATCTTCTTGCCGGATTTGTGTGTGGTAAGTGAGATGCTTGAGAGAGAAGGAGATATAGGAGAGATGAAGGAAAAATGCCAACTAAATTGCCACGAGTCTATCCACGTAGACTCTGCCTAACTAATCGGTCAAATATCTCAGCCAAAATATCATTTTCCATAAAATAATTAACTAAAAATACAAAAGTATAAAAAAGTTGAGTTAACCAAACGCTAAAACTAAAACATGTTTTTTTGAAAAAATATTTTATTTGCAAACAAATGGAGCTAGACAAGACAACCTTAAAACCCCATCCCACCATAAGTGGAGTGGGCAAGCTTGGACTCCAGTCCGCCAGGCCCGGCCCCAGTTCTTCCCAACTTCTTTTTCCATTTAAACATTGCGCTAGCCCAACATCCCCTGCCCAAACTAACGAGAAAATTTAAACCGTCCATCTGATACATGCACCTGCGTCCGTAATGAGGCAAAATTTTTTAAAAACCAAACCAACCTCCCAATTATTATTATTATTTTCTTGGCCTACCATAAAAACTAATGTCTACATCTCACACTAATTTTAGTGTCATTTATGTCCTGTTTGGTATGTGATATGTTTTAGGCCTTATATTTTTTTTGTCAATACCAACTACTGTTTTGTTGTTTGAGTGTTTTAGATAGAAATCGAAACTATATTTGGTTACGAAATTTTGTATTGGAAAAATAAAAAATTTGCTTTAGTTTACAAAAACACACAATATCACCAATTTGGTGATATGGGTTTGGGCAAAAAAAAAAAAAAAATCTGATATGTTATTAACTATTTCAAACTAATATAAATTGTCTCAAACATGACATGGGTTTAAATTTGAAGACCAATATCAGAAAAAATAATATTATAACACATTCCAAATAGACTCTAAATATTCTATTTTTGTTAGCAAATTATGGACTTGAATCTTCTCCACATGGTCAGGTACTGTATCATATGTTGAAGTACCAAATGGGCAATAGTTCAATTGGTACAAATTTGGATGCATCATCAGGCGTAGAAGTAGACCACGATAAGTGAGTCCTACTTGATGATGGGGTGGAGGGAAAATAGAAATGAATGAATAAATTTTTTTTTTTTATTTGATAGAAATGAAATGAGAAGAGAAAGGATAATAGGATGGATGAATCATTCTTCACAAATTTTGTTCCTTCCAATATGGACAAAAGAGAAAAGAAATGCAAAGTAGGGAATATTATAAAAGTTTTAAATTACAATAGATATTTACTATAGATAGTGGGCTACTTTCTTTTTTTTTTTTCTTCCTCTTTGCTTTATTTTATTTTATTTTTTTATGATGAAATATGATTTTGCTTCTTAAAAAAAGAAAATAATAGACAATCAAATTTTGCATGCATAACAAATTAGAGTGAAATTAATTGTACTTATAACATAATAAATGTTCAAATAAAGTGATGGATATAATAATAAAATAATTTAAATCTCCCTTTTCCCTTCTTTCCAATAAAGTAATAGATAATAATGAATTTAATAATAAAAATGATTTAAAACTCTTCTTTCCAAGTAAAGTGAGATTTTTCTTCTCATATCTCAACCCGAAGAAAAAGATGAATTGTCTAATCCATCCTGTCTTTTGTCTCCGGGTTATTCAATTTTTTGTTTCCTTTTTTATTGGAGAGAGCATAAGTTTATTCTATCTAATTTTGATTCTTATTTTTTCTTCACACTTTTATTGAATTAAGGATGTGCAAACCAATTAAGGTGCACAAAAATGGGTTAGAATAGACCGGAATTGTTTCCGACTATTGCTTAATCAATTTCGGTTTCAAAATAAAGACTCGCTAATTTACAGTTTCAGTTTCGATTCTACACCCATTAGAATCGAACCATAAACTAAACTATATATATATATATATATATAAAATAAGAGATAATTACACTGACCTCTCTCTTATTTGTCAAATTACACTGACCTCCTTTGTAAGAGTGAAGTTACTAATTTGCCCTCATTATATTTAATTGTATTTTATTGCAAAAATGATAAATTTTGAAAAGACCAAAAAACCCATCTCTAAAACCCTATTCTCTCCACCTCCTGTATCATTTTTTTGGATCACCACAAATAGATTATCGGGCGTTGCAGCCCTACCATCCCCACCCCCACACAACCGCCCATTACCACCATTATTAACCCCACCCACACAAGAATGACCACATCAGTAATGTTAAGGTTCTTCATTAAAAAATAAATTGAGTCAAGCATTGCGTCGAGCACAATGAAACAAAGTGTTTGGATCCACCATTTTTTTCGAATGTGGCAATGGGTAGAACTATCCAAAAGAACAACCCCTTTGTTCTCCAAGGATAGGGAGAATAATTGGGACAAGGTTTGGTCGAAGAATGCTTGAGACGGCGGGAATGGGTCGAGAACAATTGACGCTACACGTGATGTCGAGATCTTGATCTGAGTGTGGAGATTGGCAACGATAAGAGCGCTGTAGAGGGACTTGATTGCCATTATGAGTAGGGGAGCGAAGAGAGTATGGTGGTCAGGACCTCGGCGACGGCGGTGATAAACGTTTGCGGGTAGTACACAGCGATGTTGCGGCTGTTCCAGGCGGCGGCGGCGGCATTGTAGGACCCAATTGCGAGGAGCTGGTTGTTGGGCACACTGATGATGTCCCGAATCTTGGTTTTGGCCAGAGCTTTGAGAATGTCTACGTCGGCATCGTAGAAACGAACGTGTGTTATCTTTCACTCATGTAGAAACAAAACCAAGTCCTTTGGTGATAACAAATTTTATATATCTGTACCTATGTTGACTCCAACATATGGCTCATCTTCATCTTGTTACGCTTTAATATCTGCAAACAATACAAATTCAGTATACAATTCTACATATATACATAAATGGGTATGTAGGTATGTAAAGACTGATATTTTAGAAATGGGTTTGTGGAAACAATGCTAATTTAGTATACAAATCTATACATATACATATATGTTTGTAAGACTTTTTAGTATACCAATCTATTAAAGATTGATTTTTCTGAAGTGGGTTTGTGGTTTTTTACCTGGTAAGAATGTGGATGTTACTAAAGACAGTGAGATGATGAAGAGGGTGAGCTTAGAGTCTGCCATTAGAGAGACGCTTGAGCTCTACTTTTTACTTTTTCTGTTATCCTCTGCTTCTGGTTTAACTAAGCTTTGTTGCATTATCTTATGCAAGACCACTCACGGCCTGGGTGGGTTGCAATGACTGATGGTGATGGTTTGGGCAGACCCAAACTCAGTGAAGTGTACAGAAGCTTACACTGTCCGGCAACCCCCAAGCAACAACGAACCAGTTTGATTGGTTTGGCCTTAAAGAAAGAAGATGTGATATTTAAGTAATTTCATATGATTTAGTTAGGATAATAATTTATTTACATGTCTAAAATGGGAATTTGAGAATTAAAAATTGATGACATCATCATTTTCAGTAATGGAGGGGAGGTCTATGTTATCAGTATACAAATATCGAGGGAGGTCAGTGTAATTTGACAAACAAGAGAGACAAGAGGGAAAGTCAATGTATATTAATGAAACCTCAAAGAAGGTTAGTGTAATTATCCCTAATAATAAATATTAATATAGCATATGTTACAAAGATAAGACTACACACAAGCACACAACAATATATATGTTTTAAATTACACAAAAAAAGATAAAGCTATAGTCAAATAATTTTTAACTTCTAAATTCATATTTGTTTCATAAGAACAAGATAATAACTCATTTGCTTTTAAATTACAAAAATATTTTGTTTGTTATATAAAACTTATATTTACTTTGGTAAACTAAATCTATGTGCTATGTAGTCACTGAGTTTTTTTTTTATTTTTTTATTTTTAAGATAAAAAAAAGTGATGCATAACCAAACCAAATCCAATTTTAATTTTAATTTTCAGGAACTATTAGAATGGATTCAGTTTTGTTTTAGCTAATCAGACTTGTTTTACTCTCCTTAAGTAATACTTCATCTATTCCAAAATACTTGCTCATCTTTTTATTTTAAAACGTACAAAAATACATGTCTCATTCTAAAATTAGATATACTATTTTTTATAACATTTCTAAACTATTCTTTTAACATTTCTAAACTGTTCATACTTTATTAAACAAGTGCATTAATTTAGGAGTATATGTCTTTCTACTAGTAACGATAAATTTTAAAATTAAAATTTTTCAATACAATAAAAAGTAGTTAAAAAAAAATTTAAAAAAAAAATATTCAAAATCATAAAAAGTGAATTCCCAGGTGAAGAATTTTAAGCCGAGGGAGTACTATTTTTTACAAGCTCTATGGGCCCCAGTTATTTTGAATTATCCACGTAGAGTTAAAATTATCCACGTAGAGTTAATTCGAAGCTATGTGGGGCCTACCCTGGTTATTCTGGAGGGCTGACGCGGCATAAAGTTACGAGGGGAGACCGACAGAGACACGACGGCGACAGCGAGTTCAAACTCTTCCCTCACTCCTGAGTTTCTTTACTTTGCAATCCCAGCATCTCTCTTTCTGTCGCTCTCTCGCGCGCGCGCAAACACTCAACCCCATTCATTTCAACCTGTTCCGTGATTCCCTCCTTCCTCTCTATCGACCTGTCTCTTCCTTTCTCTAAAGTCTCCGATCACAAACACTCCATTCTTGCATCACTTATCACCTGCCTTTGAATTTTCCGGTGAGCTGAAGCGGCAATTTTCAACCAAACTACTCGTCTTTCTCAGTTGTAGCCTTGTAGGTGACTCAATCTTTTACTCTATTTTCTCTCTCTCTATATATCAGACATATGCACATAACATTTAGATATTTTCAGAAATATTGATTTGATGTCAAACTTGTGATGAATGTAGATGTTGAGTATTTTTTATTGAGGGTGGTGGTGGTGAATTGGATGGGATATGGCGGAACCACGGTCAGTGGACTTGAAAGAGACCAAGTTCCGTAAAGGGGTTTTCGCTGTGGTTGGAATCATGTCCACTCTCCTCATCTATGGCCTCTTACAGGTTCACATTTATCATCTCATCCACTGCTCATTAGTTTCCATCGGATGAACCTTTTAATTATTTTAATTTGAGTACCTGATAGACTTTGTTTTCTGTACTCTCTTTTTATTTTTTTATTTTTATTTTATTTTTTTTCACAATTCAGTGCAATTGAATTATGTTCACTGTGTTGTCAAAGGAAGGAACTTTGTTTTGAGAAACTATAAATTACCACATATGAATGCATCTTTGAGCTAGTGCTTGAAAGGTGATTGTTTGTTCATTTCCTAACTGACACTCTCATAATCATTTTTGGTTCTATTTACTTTGATAGGAAGCAAAGTTGAGGCCTTACTTTGTATTTATTGATACCCTAAGTAAGGATTTGAAAGACTGCCTGGTGTGTCAGTGTAGAAACCCTTTACTTGTAGAGGTTGAACTGTGACATGAGGACCCCAAATATGCTAGATATGCGCAGGAGCATTTGGAAGTTATAGTGTGGCTTTGATTTGGGAGAGGGGATTTTGAAATGGTAGAAGAATTTGCTTTGGATTATCTTGCCTGACCTGTCAATTTGTTTACTTACAATGCCATTAGAGCCTTGTTTGTGACTCATCATTGCTTGAACAGTCCTTTGGGGCCTTATCAATGACCCTTCATTCTTCCCTTTCAATGTCAAGGTCAGGTTGATATTGCCAGAATTTCATTCACAATGATTCATATAGGATGATATTTTTGTTTTGGATTCCTAATTCTCGAAATGCCTCAAGAGCATATGCATTTTGAGATAGTTCTACTATATGTTCTTGATGATAATTCATAACTATCATATATAGCTATGGTTGATGACCGCGCCACGTTAGCTGCTTAAACGGCGCCACCTTTGCAAAATAGGCACAACTAGCCAGCGTTTACTTGGCATGCCCACGGTGGATTAGGTATTCTCGAGCTACCTATCCAATAATTGAACTCACTGGCCGAGGAAGGGGTCACTACCCTTCCTCTACTGTGGTCGCGCCCCGCTCCAGTCGGATGGGCCCCTCCCCCCCCTGGCTCGTTCGAGGATGCTCTCTGAAAGAGCGGCCTCTGCTAATCTGCTTTGCACACCCCCCTTTCCGGTTAAGGAAGCTTTGGGATGAAATTGGGATAGAATCCCGCGAGATCATGAAGGCAGGATCTCGAAAGGGATCTATTCCTTCTGAAGGTCGGGAATCTGAGGACATGTGGATAGGTGGCTGAGATCCAAGGGCTCGTCTTGGCCCGAAGACGGCATGAGGGGGAAAGGATACTCGGTACCCGAGCTCGAACAAGGATAAAAGACGTATTAATTACGAAAGACGTCTGATAGGACCCATATTAATTAAGAAGCGCCATTACCCCTTTGAACCAAGGGGTAAAGCATGGCGAACCATCCGTCAATGTCTTTTCCGTCAGAAGGAGAGACCCTCGAACCTTTGGGTAAGAGCGAGTTCATTCAAAGAACTAAAAGATATTAACCGAAGAGGAAAACACTATAAATAGGAGTGTTAATCAGCCTTTAAGACAACAACAACCCACATTAATAGCTCTTATCTGATAAGCTCGAGCTTATACGGTATCGGGGTCGGCCTTCCCTTTCTTAACCTCCATAGCCGGAGAATCCTTCGTGTTGCTTGGATCTCCACTTGGATACTGTTCTCAAGATTCTTGGCTTATGTGGAACGATCTTCTAATCCCATTCACGATTCACGAACTACCATCAACATTTTGGTGACTCTACTGGGGAAGGAGCGCTTCACATTTGTCAAGTATACGAGAGATCAGTCCACCCTTTCAAACTAGCCCTGCCCTAGTCGAGGGCTACGATGGATGTGTGAGCATGCCGGGGTCGTACTTTCCCGGAATCAGGATTATCTACCCTGATGCCTTAGTCGAGGCCCATAACGCGCTGTCGTACAGAATGGAATAGCTGGAAGGCACAAAGCGAGAGGTGGTGACCTTGCTGCGGGAGATTGTTGGCTGAGGGGTACCTCGGCGAGGTGCAGATTCGATCGGTGACCCCTCTGACGAGCTCACTGGGGGGATCCGACCCCGGACAACTCGGCACGACATGCGCTCTCATCATCAGCCGAAGTGAGGCGGGTTGCTGGCTAACGCAGGTGGTCACGAGATATGCCGCCACGGGCTCGCTGAACTCTTTTTAGTACCCCTCTTTCGGCACCCGCGAGGGTGGGTATGCCAAGTACCAGCCGAAGGGAGGCGCGTTATGGGGACACGGGTTCGAAGGAGCTTGGACATCAACAGGATCTTGCGCAGCGGTCGCCGTATGTGACCATAGCGGATCTGCAAACACTGCTGCGGAATGAAAAGAGTATGCTGATGCAAGAAACGGCCCCAGAACCACCTTACGCACAATCCATCGTGCTTCTCCCTTACCCGCCGGGGTACCTGACCCCTAAGTTCAGCAAGTTTGACTGGAGGAAAGGAAATCCGCGAGAGCATGTGGTGCGATTTATTGAAGCTTTGGGGCCTTTCGGAAATGATCACACTCTGCGGCTTAGGGAGTTTTCAAAAACTCTCACAGATAGGGCCTACAAATGGTATGCGAACTTGGAATCCGGGTCACTTAGTACTTGAAACCAACTAGCCACGATTTTCCAATCGAAGTTCTTTCGGGCAGAGGAAAGGGTGACTACTCTCTCTTTGACTAAAGAGACTCAAGGGCCCAGGGAGGACTTACTTACGTATGTCCATAGATTCCACGACCGAGCTATGGAATGTTACGAAACCCATGAAGAAGAAGCGCTAGGTAAGATTTGCATACAGGGCATGCAGGGGTCCTACCGAATCCATCTCATTAACTTAAAACTCCTCACTTTTGCCGATCTAATAGAGGCGTCTCGGAATTTGGCGAGTAACCTCGCTATTTGTGCGCAGGGCGCCACGCAGGAGGAGTACAGAAGCAAACGTAGACCTTAAGTTTCGGCTGCAGACGAGCCTCCCAGCAAGAAGAGCTCGAGGGGGGCCCGCACCCCTCGACCCAGGAATCCGGACGAGGCGCCTCCGTCGTTTCCATGCACTTCGGAAGAAGTAGAAACTATCCTTAAGAAATGGATCCAATATGGGGATATCAGACTGCCCGAGGTCTCTCGTGAGCTAACTACGGAAGAAATGACCCACCCAAATATTGCATGTATCATCGGCATACTCGCCACCCCACTTACGACTGTTGGGCGTTGCGAAATATTTTTTATAGGCGGATTGCTAATGGCGAACTCATTCTCCCTTCCAAGGATGTGAGGGAGGAGCCTTTTCCTACGCATGACCGAGGTGTTGCCATGATGGTCTCGGGCGTGGCAGTCGACGGGGAAGGAGCCGAGGAGGGTGTTGCCCAAGTCGCGCTGGTCAAGGGAGATGACCTCGATGCATTCCGTCTGTTGGAAGCTGCCCCTGTTAAAAGCATTCTCCAGAAAATGGACTTTTCTCCTCTTGCTCAAAAGGAAATAGCCAAGTTTCTGTGGCTGGTGGCTAAGGAAGGTGTAAAGGAAGTCGTGTCAATAACATCACTCCCTGTACCACAAAGGTCACCTGGATCGGCCATAGTCTTTACTGAGGAAGACAAGTGTGTTCCTACCCCGCACAACAGGCTGTTGTATGTTACGGCTTCACTCAATGGAGTCGAGCTCAAACGGGCATTTCTTAACAATGGTTCATCCCTCAATATCATGCCGTTGGAAGTCTTTCGCCGCAGCGGGATATTGGACGAGAAACTTATTCGGAAGCCGATTGAGATTGCCGGATTCAGAAGTGATATCCGGAGGACTGAGGGGCACGTAACGACCGAGTTGGCTATCGGAAAGTTCAAGGGTTCAGTTAAGTTTCACGTTATTGATTCAGACACCTCTTACAATTTACTCATGGGCCGAGGTTGGATGCATAAGTTTGGGATTGTCCCTTTTTCGTACCATCAATGCATGAAAGGGTTTTGGAATGGGGAACAAGTAACGGTCCGTTGCTCCGATTGACCGTTTACCAAAAAAGAATCTTATATGGTGGAGGCTGGGTTCTTTAATGAGCTAGAGGATCTGGAGGAACCCTAGCCGTTGAAGGCTATTCCTCTACCGAAGTGGGAGGAGATTGACCACCAAAGGAGACAAAAAACGCCCACAACGACTGCCAATCAGAAGAAGCCAGCTGTCTGCAAAAGGGTACGGTTGTCCAACGGAAGGATCGCCTATCGCTTATGACGGTGTTGGGGGGCACGACCTCGGGCGAGACCGTGCCCCCGGGTAGAGTCATGTCAAGTGGAGTTTCCGAACTCCATGGAGGAAGCCAGAGTAGAGTCGGCCGAATCGAGTCGGCTTGGTCAGGAGGAATTGGAAGAAGTCAACCTAGCCAATGATGGTCGCCACCGGGTGATCTATGTGTGTAAGCTGTTGGAAGGGAATGCAAAAGCGGCATTAGTAGCCCTACTCAAGGAATTTGAAGATATCTTTGCCTGGATATATGAAGAAATGCCTGGATTGAACTCTCAGGTAGTGGCTCATCATCTCAACATACGACCGGATGCACATCCAGTTAAGCAGGGGCAAAGGAGCTTCCAGCCAGAGGTCGAGTTGCAAATAGAGGAGGCAGTGCAGAGGCTTTTGCGAGCCGGCTTTATCAAACCTGTTCAACACCCATGGCTAGCGAATGTGGTGCCAGTAAAGAAGAAGAATGGAAAGATCAGGGTTTGTGTTGATTTCAGAGATTTGAACAGGGCATGCCCAAAAGATGAGTTCCCGCTCCCCATAATTGATAACTTGGTTGACTCAACCTCGGGGCATGAAATGTTTTCGTTTATGGACGGATACAGCGGATATAATCAGATTAGAATGGCGCAGGGTGATGCAGAGAAAACAACATTCCGCACGCCCATGGGGAATTTCTATTTCACAGTCATGCCCTTTGGCTTAAAGAATGCAGGGGCCACTTACCAGCGAGCCATGACGGCTATTTTCCACGACATGTTGTATAGACAAATGGAGGACTATGTGGATGAC